TTCGCAAGTATGTGGAATGTGTATGTGAAATCATGAATTTTGATTTACTGGTTTGACCTATCCGAGGTCTTTCAACTTATAGTTTATTACATTATAAAATTCGTAGAAGACCTCGTACACGTACATGAGGGCTTTCTTAAATTATATCCGTGAGAATAACAACTTAGCCAAAAAAGTGGTTATAACAAATCATACTTATGGGGGGTGAGGAGTGTAAGAGGAAACATAGCATATAAGAAGACTATATAGCTAACACAGTGTACACAGTATACCTCATTGAGTCTACACCGTCCTCACGTCTCTTATTTTCGTACTCGAAATTTTTTCTATTTTTTATTAAATTTATTTAAAAAAAAAATGTCGTGTTATTCAGTTAAAAGTGATGATGAAGAAGAATGCTTTTCTACTAGTGATGTAAGTAAAAAAAATATATATATAAAATACAATATTTAAGACATAGTTTGATTTTAATTTAAATATTCAATACTAATAATAAATAATTTTTTTAAAATATAGAAATGTATAACATATCAGAACATTTTTAACAAACTAGGTATTAACTAATCGCTTACTATATTTATAGGTTGAAATTATGGAACCAGAAATTAAATCGATGACGAAATTGACCGGACAAAAAAGGAAAGATGTGAAAATTAGAAAAACGTTTAAAAAAAAACCAAAAAAAGTGAGTAGTATAACATTTTATAAGATATTCAAAGAATAAATTTATAATTTTAATTTATAGAATATTTCTTATCAAGAAAAAGTTACCCAATTAATACAAAATGAAAAAATTGCTAAACATGTTATGAATTCGATTACAATCAGACAAAGTGGAGGAGTTGTAACTATTAAATCGGTTGCTGATGAAAAATGTACTGGTTATTGGACGTTGGCACATTATAAAACCAAAAACATTGAACATATCGATGCTAAAGACAGGTAATATATATATATAAATGTATATTTTTTTCTTTGTATTTACTTTGAAATAAAGTTAGTGTATATCAATGTAAAAATATGATAGAACACATTTATGTGATTTTAGGTGAAAACATGCAGAATGTTCATTAAAACTAGCGATAATAGACCAGTCAAAAGATCAGAATGTTTTAGGAGAGCTTAATGAAATTGTTCAAACTATCTTTGATCGTTTAATGAAAGACCCAAAAAAAAAATTATACAAAACGTTTTTTCAAAATAATCTATATGTATGTATGAATCATGATGACGGTAAGTAAAAACAATAATAAAAAAACTTGAATTATCATTTTTTTATTTATTTAAATAAAAAAAAATAGTACACTTAAAGATTGAAAAAAAAATATATTAAGTTTAATATAATATAATAAATATGAATACAGTATAAAAGTAGTACCTAACCTAACCGGGGGAAATGGTTATTTACACAAATTGTATGACTTATAATTTGTGCCAAAATATAAAAATATAACACTATTTTGACTTTTGAGCCACATAAACAAATTAATTTTGGTATTTTGCGTCACTACAGAAAATAAAATGGAATATATTATTTGTGCCACACTTTCAAATTCAATTGCAGTTCGAATTTATCAGCAGATAAATTTACTGATATTGCATAGGATATACAATAATACGTACCGACGCATGTCCATTAAATATTGTTGTGTTCTACTGATAATAAAGACATATCGTTTCTATTAGAAGCAATCGATCTCCGATTACGTCTAATCTAATGAAAATTATCAGTTTGCTGTTAAGTAAGACATCGAAAAATATTAAATAGCAATGTCGTGCGAATCGTGATATTAACAATTAGTCCGATATAAATCACATGTGCGTTCATGCTATTTTTACATTTCAAAATTATATAAAAATATAAGTAATGGATACAAATATTGGTGAAATTATTAAAAGTATCAGTGACTCAGATTTATTATTATATACAAATTGTATGTTTCAAAAAGTTCATGAATCGAAAAATTGTTCAATACAATGCCGTTGCACTGTAAAAGTGTATACTTCATTATAAAATATTGTAAAAATAGTTGAAATTGTAAGTGAACATGACAGGCATGATCAACCAGGTATAGACAAAAATGTATTCAAATGGATGTAAGAGGAAAGCTTTGGAATTATCTGTATACTAAACCAAGAAAAATAATACGAACAAAAATTTCCGAAAGTATATCTAATTTAGATACCATTACTACCGATGATACATCATTAGTTAGATGAAATAATTATAACGCCCGTAGAAAAATTTTGTCACAATTTCCAAAAACAATGGAAGAAACGTGAAAGAATATAAGTAATTTAGATTTGACATCGGACCTCAATGAGCAATTTCTATTAATCAATAATCCGAACTGTCATATAATATAATTTTCATGAAACACAAACTTAAAAGTTCTCTGCAAATCTGAAATTATATACATGAATGGAACTTTTGAATATTGACCCAAGTTATTAACGCAATTGTTTTCTTTGCATGGCTTATGCAATGATCGTTATATTATACTACTTTTATTTGCATTAAATCCAGGCAATAAAAATTTCAACTTACGTAAATTTATTTAAACATATCATACATTTGTGTTTGTGCATTGAGGCAAATCTGAGATGATACTAAAATATTCAGTTGTAGATTTTACTTAACTCAATCATGGTATAAAAAAATTCAGGAATTAGATCTTGTTAATGTATATCAAAATAATAAAAAAGAAGAAAGCAAGTTGCTAAATCATATATAATTGGATTCCCAGAACTAGGGAGGACTGGCCTAGTCGTCTACTGTCCTAGAGGACAGTGGGTCGGTGTATTTGGATGGGTTTTGGGCCGATGCCTTGTAACTTATTGTTGTAAGTACAATTACATCGGTAGATAAGTAAATATTAAAATATAATAATGCGACATTATATGATATGGGATATAGTCACATACGCGTAATTTTACGTAGTGGCTAGTGTATAGAATATAGAAATATAAAATATATTAGTATATTATGTATAATAGTGGGTTGCTATTTATTCCTCCAAACGAGGTCAGTGGCTGCATTATTTAAGATTTTATGACAGCAATTCCTAAAATGACATTCGATTTCAAAAATATGCTGTTTATTTAGTTAACACATATATCAGTGAAAAGGCTATATTTCCACCAATAATTTGGCTGCGAACATCACGTCACTAGCTTTCACTACTGAAGCTTGCGAATCATATAATTCACGTTTCAATTCCAAGTTCTATCACTCACATACTACTATTTACCACTTTTTGGACGTACTGAAAAAATTTCAAACAGAAACTTTGATTACAATTATAAGTGAACATCTTAAAAAGTGAAATTCTACTATAAGAAAAAACCTGTTGAAAACTTTTCAACAAATATATGAAGACTACAGACAAAATCAAATTGACTGAAAAGGCTTAGTTTCGTCATTAAGCTATTATCAGGAAAAAAGGTGAGTAAGCTGGTATTTAATAATTTCAAAAATTATATGTAATATTACAAAAATAGTACATAATAAACAATAATTTACTTATATAATATACATGGAGTTTTGTTTTATTTACATACATTTATTTATAATTATAATAATTGTAGTGCTAATTACAATTTTAATAGGTACACGATGTACAGATTACATTAATCCTTTTTATTTTATTTTATTTGGCGCAAATTACAAACTTAAAAAGTGGTGCAAATCATCAAAATACGTTTTTAGATGTGGCGCAAATGACAAATTTTATAATTTTTTTTTTTTTTTGGTTGTTTTTTGCACAAATTACACACGTTCTTACCATTTAACTTGGAGTGTTATTATTATTTATGTATAATAAACGGGTAATAACCCTTTTGTGTGAGCAATATCAGGTTTACATATTTTTAAGTATTTTACATTAAACTAAAATTAAGCAATTAAACAATAATAATGAAATACAGGTGAATTAATTAATATGATTATTATTAGAAGAAAGAGTAGATAACATTACATCCTCGTCTGAGCTTAAAGAGTTTGTTTCATAGACACTGGAAAAATAATCTGCAAATAATTTGACTGTTTCAAAGGTATTGGTTGAAGTCGCATTATTATATTTCATACAGTCTGGTACATTACTTTTTTGTTCTTTTTAGAGAATTTACATAGTTCCAAAAAGGTTTTATATTTATTTGTAAACTATTCTCTATATTCGAAATGTGTTGATTATGACAGATTTGAATGAGCTGTCTATATTTTTTCTGTAGCTCAGAAAATTCTGTATAATTGGCAGGAGAAGGTGATAGTTTATATTTTTTATGTGCACATTTCTTTTTAATTATAAGGTTTCTAAGCTCCAAATTTGTCCATACAGGGGAATAATAATTATAAATTTTAGTTTTCGGAACAAATAAAATGGATGAATGATAAATAATTTCGTAAAAAGTATCAACTATTGCGTCAAGAGACAGGTCTTTGTTATTTAGATTTAAATAAAAATCAATATTAGAAAGAAAAAGAGATATATCATTGAAATTATATTATTTAAAATTGAAAATATATGGTGACTCGAGAAAATCATTTACTGAGAAATATTTAAACATAATTACATATGACTTAGGTTACTACTTAAATAATAGCGTGTGCCAGTTGTTTAAATAAAGGTTACAGGTGAACAAGCAACAGCACACATTAAAATACTAAGTAATATTTTGTTGAAAACCATTTTATTGTAGTAATCGGATGATAAATTAAATGTATCACCAAAATCATGTTTAATCTAATAAAATAAAGTGTAAACGAATAAGTATCATATCAACATGTGAAATGTGTGACCTACTTTTAGTAAGTATGGGTACGATTTTTTTTCGATTTATTGTAGAGCATAATAAATATTTTAATTTTCCTCATAGCCATTTTTTTTTAAAAGTTTAAACAGCACATGAATATTACTTAAAACAACAATGTCAATACATTCATTTTAAAATTATATAAATATTGGTTTATCGTAATAGGAATTAATGCAAAAACACCAAAGGACTAGACACAAGTTATTTCATGACGATATATCTTAGTTGTATTGCAGTTGTTTTTTCTTCTGAAGATTAAAAAAAGTTAATCATAATTTATGAAATTATTTATTCGCTACATTGTAATAACGACACATTTCAATCAAATTTTTAGTGTACCAATATCATATTTTTATTGAAATTTTAATTAGTGGACAATTTGCATGAAAAACATGACTAATCAAACAAAAAAGGTATGTAAAGAACGACCTTTCGCATACAAGTAGATTAGAGATCGACCGGTTTTATAGACTTAGTAAAAATTATATTTGAAAATTTCAAATTGTGAATTTCATTAGGCGATTTTATCTTAAGTTAATTTAATGAAATCTGAGAATAGGATAAATGGCTAACTCTTGTAACGCACTTTTACTATTTAACATACCACACTTATGAACACCTGTTGCGTCTGATTCATATATCAACGTAAAAAAGTGAAATACTAATGTTTGCAAGTTAAATGATTAAGTCTTTATTATAATAAAATTAACTCATACAAGAAAACAATTTTATAAGCACAAGATGGAGTGAGCAGTGTTACGACCAAACTCTGTAATACTGATAGACGAAACCGTGAGTGGTGGTAAGACCTGCCTCTAAGCGTCTCGAATATCTCTAACCGTCTGCTCAGTGCTTTTCATGGTCTCCCTTATAAATGGTTAACTGACAAGAGTGATGACTAGGGAGGTGGCGACTTCCGATGACCTAAAGGAGCTCTCTAAATTATACTTATTATTCAGTTAGGCTCCTTTCCTGCGATTTCATCTATTCCAAGAAATCCAGGACGTGTGATCAAGTCTTAATTGTTTTATTAAATAGTACAATGTTAACACTATCGTCTATTCATCTATTCTGGGAAGTCCAGGACGTGTGATCAAATCTTAATTGTTTTATTAAATAACACGATGTTCAGGTGTTCACTCTAACCGTTCAGTACTACACTGTTTGAATACATCATCTTAATCGGTATATGAGTCACCTCTCCGTATAATATGTGTTAAAATAATATAATATAACACGGTACGTAACACCTCCCTTCCAAAAAAAACATTTATATTTTGTAAGAAACAGAAATCTTAAAAATATTAAATATCATCTTAATATTAGGTGTTAGTGATAACATATTTTTTCTTTTCTTTTTGTTACATATTTCCTTAATGTTAGTATTAGTGTTTTAGATTATCATTACATAGTTTTAGTAAAATAATTTTGCTATTCGTTAGCAATTACATATTAAAACAATTTCTTATAAAAATTACACGATTTCATTAAATCATGCTTACACTTATTTTATACATAAATTTTAAAACATACTTTTTTTTTTTTTCTAATTCCTATTTATGAAAATACAAAATTTCAGTAATAATTATTTACTTTTACCTAAAATATGTTATTTAACATCTTCTTATAAAAATTACACAATTTCATTTAATCGTGTTTACATTTTTTTTTTTTTTATATATATATACTTTTTTAAACATCTTTTTTTTTTACCTGTTACAAATTATTGTACATAAATTGAATATAATTTTAAATAGATTATACATTCTTTTTGGTCATAGTTTTATTATGAAAATTTTTTCGTTAGTGTAATTAATGTAAGTTAAATTATTATTAATTTTTTTTATATATATTTATATATGTTGGTCGTTCATAATTATGCATATTCTTTTAAATTCCCTTCATAGGTTCCAGGGTATTGATATAATTGAATAATTGAATGACGCCCTATTAATTATTTGCGTATTTTAATATATCGGATGTCTCCGGTACTATATCTATAACTTCTGCTAAATACTGGAAATGTCCTGTATCAGATCCAACATCTTCCATAATTTTTTGTAAATTTATCATAACGTGTAATATGTATTGGTTATCAAAAGATTCATTAAATCTTTGATTAGCATCCAATATGTGCCGAATGAGACTAGTAGGCATTGTTACTCCTCCCGATTCCCGGATATTGGTGTGGCCTCCTTGCTCTATGGCTTCTTTTAAGTTCATACAAAATTCCACGCTTTTAGCTGAATTTCTAAAATTTTTACAGTTTATCAGTTAATTTAGCTATAGTTATGAATAATTACTTTAGTTCAGTTTGCAAATTTTATATAATTGTATAGGTCCTATTTTCTTTATAATATAATTAAAAATACATTTTCACCATTTTGTTATAATCACGTCCGCTACTGGATCGTGACTGTGTGTAATACTATGATTAGTTTTGCATATTAAATCATGGGTTTTCATTAGATTTAACATACGGCCATTTTTCTTGTGGTAACCTATTTTCTCAGAGTATAAAAATTTATTTATGTTATTTGTATTATCAATTAATTTAAGGTTGAAATAATTTTCATTATTGTCGCTAAAATGTTTAAAAGGTTCTTCACTTTTAACCGTAGCCGCTCTACTATTTGTTTATCCGTTGTTCCATTTTAATATACGAGTATAGGTGCTCTATGGTCAGTATGCAAATATTGATTCAGATACGTAGTAGACAGAGTCGTTTCCCCCTCAAGTTTTAGACTGGCTTCCAGTTGCCCCAGTAATGGTAGTAACAACTCTGGCTTGTTTCTAAATATCCTTCCAACATTTCTCGTTACCTGCTTAACCTCTCTTTGCTTTAGCATTTTCAACTTATTATTGGTGATTAATATGATAGGTTTGCCTTCTAATTTTATCTGCTTATATTTGTTCAAACTGTTTGATATTGCCCCTGATACTAATAGCAGATTTTTACTTTCTATCATGGTGAACTCGAAATCCACTATGATAAATTTGAACTTGTCACTGTAAAATATAATTAATCTGTTACTATATACTTTAATTTACTATAACCTAATTATTATTATTATTATTCCTCGGTGGCTGCTGCTGCCTGTATTAACTCATTAATTAACATTTACCTGTATATACGTGATCGTTGTGTATAAGTGAATATCGTACCATCGTATAGTAATCGTCTTGGTATGTTTTGTATTGGCATGTTTGTAAGTTAATGCTTTTTTTTTTTTTTTGTTCCCGGTTAAATGTAATTTAAAATTATAATAATTTTCTTGCTCTCAATAAATTATTATCTGCAACATGATAAGATACGAGAATCCTTTTATTTATTTCGAATTGATTATAATAGTTATTGTTAATTTTATTCTTATATTCATTATTTTTGTTTATCACGTATACGTAATTATTATTGTAATGGTGTGGCGGCATCGTCCATGCGTCTAAGACTTTGTAATGAAATTTTACCTGTCGCCTAACGTTATTTGTTGTATATGTATCTGTTATTTTACGTTTACATTTTATTATTATTATTCCTGCCACTGTTATAATTATTAGGTAAAATATGTATGTATGTAAGTCGGTTGTGTCTTTAGTTGTTCGTTTATCTTTTTCTTCTTGTATAAGTTGTTCAATTTCATCAATAAATTTGGAATATTCACTTAAGTCAGTTAGTTTAATTACAGAGTTGGTGTGTGTTATAAGATTACTTATTTTTCTTTTTATTGTTGTAGAAATAGTTAAGTTTGATTGTATACCTACATTGGAAACTAAGTCCTTATAGTGGGTGGAATTTAAATGTCTACTAGGTGTTAACACCATCTGAGAAGTATACCCCCTACAGTCTTCATCAATAGTTAATATGCCGATCTCGGTTAGTTGTATATTAATTGCTTAGTCCCTATTTTCGCATGAAATGGCTATATTATCGGTTGATTTTATCGTAAATATCCATGCGTTTTTATATTTTAATCGATGGTAAATACTTCGCGTAATGTCAAGGTAGTGTATAGGACAAGTGGTTAAAATATTAGATGGTTTCACGAATAACTCTACTTCACGTGGTAACTCACTGGCTCCTAATCGTAATGATTGGGGTTCAGGACATAAGGTTCCTATTTTTATTTGTTTACATGAATTAAGATGATTAAAAGATAATGTTAAATAATACTCGTGAGTTTTTGAAATAGCTATATAACCATATTCTGGTATTATGTGCATGTAGTAATTGTTTTTAACTACTGGTAATGGTATTACGTGGTATAAAGTAAGTTCTACGGTATTTATTAATGGTATTATTATTTCGAAAATTAGCGTTTCATTTATATATATTATATTTAATTTTGACATTTTACTCAATTCGTACAGTGATACTTGGTTTAAATCATTAAATCAAATGATAAGCCTTGTTCTTTTGGAATGTTTAAAGAAATATCTTTTAATTGTCGTCGTAATTCCATGACAGCTATTACACTTGAATGTATTATACCCCCTTGAGCGGCTATAATTACTTCACATATTGTATCGGTTTCGAAACTTATTTGTTGGAATAGTTAATTTAAAATATTGAATTGTTCATTTATATTATTTCTAGCTTCGACTATATCTATATCTATTACTGTTTGATTTACGGTTGATTCTAATCTATCACATAGTATTCCTAACCTATTAATTTGCATTTCCATTTGGGTGGCTTCTTTAAATGTATTCGCGGTTGCTTTTAGTAAACTAGTTTGCTTATCGACAATTTTTTATAAGTTTTATTGACTATTTTATAATTTTTCAATTTGTTGATCGTATTTTTCCGCGTCAGTAGTAATGTACCGAAGGGCGTAGGACGTTTGCGCATCGCTATTGTTACCAATTACCTTTTTTGTAGGGCGTTTGCGCATCGCTATTGTTAAAAAAAAGGCTTAGATTGTTTTCCTATAATATAACATAACAATTTTTATTAATTATTATTATGTAAATTATGATTTCAATAATTATAAAACTATAAATATTTTTGAACGTATATTACTATATTATTTAATCATCTTATGAGACTAGATTCGTTATAAATGTCTTACGGGGAAGTGGGTACGGGGAAACGTCTGACTCGGAAGTGTACGTGAATTGATTAAACTTATAACTTATAAGTTATCAGTTATTAATATTATCGTTACCTATATAATGATATCGGTGTATCATCCGGTCATGTCATGTTACTATAGTAGGTAGGTAGATACCTTTTTTCACGATGCACAAACGACCAACTTAATTTTTTACCTGAAGTACTAATGATGCGCAAACGACAATCACCGGTACCGAATGGGGTTTATTGTACTCTACCTACTATGTTAATTAGACCCCTTCTTATCCGGGTAATTGTATCTGTTTCATCTATTGATTGTAACATAAAAATCGCTTTCTC